TAGCTATGATCTCCGCCGGGTTGTCGACGGATTTGTAAAGCGTGGCGAGGACAGAAGCACCTAGGCCGCTGGTTGAGCCTGTAATGAGGAACTTTGCGGGGGCCATTGTTCTATGACGCTTGTTGAAGGGATTTGTATATATGATGATCTATCTATCCGCCGCCAGAGAGTTGTATCGGTATCAAGGGAGCGGAGGAAGGGAGAAGGAAGTAGGAAGTGATATCCAGCCATTGAAGGAGCGGAGAGCGACATCTTTATGCATGGAGTGATTCACTTTTGTAACTATCCTGCTGCTTCACCTTGATTGTTTTCTTAACTCCGTTGGTCTTTCTCAAAATTAAACATACCATAGACAGTAGTTAATGTAATATCAGCCACAGGCACTAACTAGTTAGGCGCTAGATGATTTGTAAGCGCCTGTAACTTAACTTATATAAGTTAACTGTTGGGGGTCCCGGGTTGATCGGCCCTTCTACCAGTGCGCTGGTGGTGACTGAGCTCTTTTGCCCCAGTAGAGTAAGTTAAGTTACTATCTCAACATTTACTATCTATCTCTTTATATTCACAATTTTTAATCAATTTATCCAATGAAGTTATATTTAATATTTATAGATTAATTATATTTTAAATAATTTCTGTGTCTTTTTTTTATAAATTTAATAGTATTAATATAAATACTTTTTATTTTTACAATATTAATTAAGTTTTATTGACCTCTTCTCCATTCTATTATTACGAACTGTAGGCTACTGGGGTAAAGGAGCTCAATCACCACCAGCGCACTGCTGGTAGAAGGGCCGATCAACCCGGGACCCCCAACAATTACAAACTGGAGACTGCGCGATTAATAATCAATCCCAGGAACATTCCGAGGTTTCTCTAGCCTTCTTTTGAGCTGACGGCTTCGGCTTGATAGATGATGTAGGGGCTATGTCCGCCAGCAGCAAAGGGGTTTAATCATATAGGTAACTAACTACATATCAGATGCTATTATCCAGGCTGAATGACTGAATAATGTATCCGAGCTGGTATTTTCAGGGGTTCTTTTTATCTTTTATTCTTTATATATATATATATATATATATATATATATTTGCATCTATCACTATGGCAGGCAATCAAAGCGAGGGGGAAAAAAGGAAATGAAATGAGACCACCGCACACTAATCCCATGCCTGATTGATAATCACTTCACTTCACAGCAGTGATCAACAGTATGTGGTCCAATTCCCTTCTTGTTGATGCAACTCTAGTTGTGCTGTAATGCAAGTTGGTGTGGAGTCTTCGGGATGAGGGGCAGCAGTCAAAGGGGTGTGAGAATTTACAGCTAATGCTGTCACTAAAAGGCGGGGCACAGTGAGTAAGTTAATGCCGATGTCTACCAGCTGCCTGACGGGATTATCCACGGGTATCGCGTATCAGGGCTATTATTATATACAAAACCGTCCGTTACAAGACAGACCTACACTATAACTAGAAGCCGTAGACTTCAATCCCAACACTTAAGACATCTATCTTTCTAGCTTCCTCCTCCCATCACATCCTGCCATCCTAAATACACAAGTAAACATGGCCTCCCACCCGCCAGGCGCTTGCTGCACCCGCGGGTTCAAGCACATGGGAATAGCCTCGGGCGAGATCAAGAAAATTGGCGACAGTATGTATATAAAACCAATCAGAAAATTAAAGCATACCAGCATAATAAAAATAAAGTTACTAACAACTCACCCCGACCGCCATCCAGTCGACACATACATCTCCCACCCCCCTGCCTCCGCCACGACCACCAAGCTAGAAAAAGCCATCATTATCTTCACCGACATCCTAGGTCTAGCCGACAATGTCAAACTCGTCGCGGACGACTTTGCCGCCCGCGGCTACCTGGTCGTGATCCCGGACCTGTTCCACGGCAATGCCCTGACCATGAACCAGGTCATGAGTGGCATAGACATCATGGCCTGGCTGAAGGATTATACCACAGAGGCCGTCGACCCCATTGCGGCTGCGACGATTAAGTATGTGCGGGAGACTTTGAGCATCAAGAGGGTTGCGTCGGTGGGGTATTGTTTTGGTGCGAAGGTTTGTTAGGTTTATTTTTTATTTTATTATTATTATTATTTTTGTTAGTGGGGGAGGGGGGGTTGAATGGTTGTTGTATCTCTCTTCTAACAACTCTTCTCTATCTACCTACATGTATACATGTAGTACGCTACTCGATTCATGAAAGAAGGCGGAGGGATTGATGTCGGATACGTCGCGCATCCATCCTTCGTTGCGCCAGAAGAGTTGCGAGCTATCAAGGGTCCATATGCCATTTCCGCTGCCGGTAAGGAGATCCCCCACTCCAGCGCCTTAAAAAAAAAAGAAAAATAAAAAAAATAAATAAAAAAAAGAAAAAGAAAAAGAAAAAGAAAAAGAAAAGCTCACCACAACAGAAACCGACACCATCTTCCCATCAAACCTCCGCCACGAGTCCGAGGAAATCCTCTCAAGAGTTGGCTTCCCCTGGCAAATCAACCTGTTCAGCGGCGTCCAGCACGGCTTCGCCGTCCGCGGTGACCTAAGTAATAAAGAGGCCAAGTTCGCCAAGGAGCAGGCATTTATTCAGGCAGCTACGTGGTTTGATGTGCATTTGTGAGGGGGGAGGGGGAGGAAGAAAGAGAGAGAGAGAGAGAGAAAGAGAGAGAGAGAGAGAAAAAGAGAGAGAGAGAGAGAGCTATGTGCGTCCCAGGCCCGGTATAGAAACAAAAACGGGTGTTGTTAGTTCGGGATTTACCGATGAGAATGCTTCTGTTATATACCATTGCGTTAACCTGCAGATATTATCGAAATGACGGGTAGCTAGCTATGTAGTAGCTCAGGGAATTAATTTCCAGACGCTACTCCCCTATCCAAGTTCTAGTTATAGGTCCTTCCAATCCGTAATCTAGTTCTCAGTTGGCTGTCCGAAGCTGGCTAGCGCCATGTTAGGCGCTTGGGGTCCAGATCGAGCTCGAATCTAATAAAACACTCAAAGTCTGTTGTATTCTCAGACGAGCTGTTCCAAATTTGCACATATGCATATATAATGTTGCCTTGTACCCTCAACGTCCACGGCGCTTTAGCCGCCCCTTCGGGGAACGAAGGTTATGCCTCTCCTGATAGTTAAGCGTGGCGTAAACAAGCTCACTAAGCCGCTTTTGTGTTTTAGCCCCAACCTTAACATGACCTCACTACATTTACTCCTGCCCCCAACCACATGAAAAACAAAGGGTGTCTAGCTATGGAAATTTCAATCTCAAGGTAAGGGAAGGGTCATAAAGTAATAAAAAGCATTTAGAACAAAAGCGGGTAACGCGAACCATTGCCCGGATTGTTTAAAAAACAGAAATTCGTAACAGTCGGTCTCAAAATAAAAATTTAAAAAAAAAGGAACAATTAAACACCTCATCCAATAATTTCCTCCGTCTCATCAATAATTTCCTCCATTATCTCTTCCACCACCGTTCCCTCCGTCTCCTCCTCTTCAGTAGCCACCCCAGCTACACCCTCCTCCTTATCCAGACCAAGTACCTCAATCTCCTCATCCAGCAGCTCCTTCTCCCGGCGTACCCAGGCAGTCCATTCGTTAAGGACTCTCTTGCGCATCTCGACAATAGCCGTGTTAGCAATGTCGACGGCATATTTGTCCTCCTCTTCGAACTCGCGCGAGTACTCGCGCAGGTTCTTGCGGACCTGTTTCTGCTCCTCCTTGCTGAGGAAGGTTGGGGGACGCGGACGCCACACGAACTGCTTGAATTTCTCCGTTGGGTGTTCGGCGATTGTGGTGCCGGAGAATGTGTGGATGTTGTAGCCGTTTTCCATCTATAAGACGTTTGTTAGTGTTTTTTAGAGTATCTCTTTTTGTGTTTCTTAATCATTAAATAGGCAAGGATGCAAAACTTACAGTGTGAGTCCAGGCGCTGGCGCTGCTGACAACATAGCGGCCGGTTGGGTCCCACTCGACGTCAGTGACACCGTAATGCTCAGCGGTCTTCATTAGTTGGAGGTTAGCAGAAAGGTCCTTCTCGCTCTCTTGCTTCTCACCCTCGAAGTCAAGGTCCCAGAAATCGAGGTCGAAGCTTTGTTGTACGTGGACGGTGGCAACAACCACGAACCGGCCCTTGGGAGACCAATATATGGCATTGCTGGTCTTCTTCTCGATGGTACGGATAAGTCTGAAATTTCCCGTGCCAGAACCCTTGACTTTCTCTGGGCAGAAGAATGAGACAGCAGTCTTGGAGGCAACTCCGGCATTGGGAGACGCTTCGGGCGTCGTAATGAGTACGAATCGATCACCCTTGGGCTCCCAAGCGAAGTTAATAACGGTATCTTTTATAGAGTCAACCACTTCAACAGGCACGCCCTTCTCCTTGACACGGAAAATTTCGAGGTTCGTGGCGAGGGATTTCTTTGACTTGGAGTGTCGATCGACCTTGACGCAGACGTATGCACCCAGTGATTGCCAATGGAGCTTAACGTCGGAAACGTTGAACAGGTTTCTTGTCCGGACAATTTCCTTGGATGGGATACTCATCAAACCAACTTTCGCTGGGTTGCTGCCGATTTCCGGGGTCCAGAAGGAAAATAGCTGTTCGTACTGTCTGATTCCATCGCGTTGGGGGGTGGCGGGAGCCCACTCGAAGTCAGTCACTCCATCAATTTTAATAGATGTTCTATCTAGGAGGTTCATGCGTGGCAGTTCGTAGACGGAAATAGATTGACCCAGAAGCATTCGTGCAACGTATTTCTCATCCGAAGACCACTTGAACGTAGGCCATGGCATCTTCTTCTTCACAACCTCTCCCTCTGGACCAGCGGCTGCAGGAACGTCATGGTTGACAAAAGACCGCAGCGGCTTGCCAGTTGCGATGTCCCAGATAATGAAATGTTTCCCATCCTCCTCGTAGGAAAGAACTGGGTGAGGCCCTTCGATTTGAATCGGCCGCGGTGACCAGGTTGTCAAGTAGCTTTCACCGGGGGAGAAGTCAATAAGCTGAACGAATGGATGGGGGAATTGTTTTTGTTTGGTAAATTGGGGTCCTCCCCAGAGTTGTACGCCTTGTGGATGCACGGATGCAAGGAAAGTGCCTTGCGGAGACCATTGTACGAAAAGCTGTGTCCAGTGTTCCCGGTCAACGATATTCTCCGGAGGATCCTTCTTCATATTCCAGAACACGCCAACTTTGTCTCCGCGGAACATGACAAACTGGTCACGGGCATTAGGATCACCTAGCCATGATCGAAGGTGCTCCTTCTCTTGGAATGGCTCGATGGTGGGTGGTTTATATTCCTCGTCAATGCGGCCCTCACGTCCATACCGATCGATATCCGTAAGTTTGTTAACTGCCAATGTGTGCTTTCTATCCAGGGGAGTGCCGTGGAGATGTTTTGTGGCCTCGAGGGCCTGTTCGGGAGATTCGTATTCGACAAAAGCAAATCTGAAGATCATCAGGGAGGAACAGGAATTAGTTTGTTTATTCTTCATTGAACAGGTTTCCCCCGCTCCGTTTAGTTCCTCGGTGTTATATAAGTCTGAACGCACCCTTCGGACATCTTATTCTCGTTCACGGGCATGAAAATGGCATCTTCGCGCGTCCGACCAACGGTGTTCAATTTTTTCAGCAAGAATTTCACGAGCCGCGGCTTGCTCTCTTCGGGCACGATTGGTAGCCCATCGATAACGACAAAGGCATCCAAGCCCTCCTCCAGCCTAACTTCATATTGCGCCTTAAGATCTGTTTGCAAAACGTGATTAGCGGGGAAACATGGAATTTCATATTAATAGACCCCCCCAAAAAAAAAAAAAAAAAAAAAAAAAAAAAAAAAAGACACCAATCCTGCTCTGGGTCCTAACGAAATCCCGAGTGGAAAAAAAATACACACCTGAAAAGTCAATGTCCAGCTCCTCCTCGTGGAGATCCTGCTCTGAAAGGGTGTCGAAACTCGGTGCCATGGTGATAGAGGGCGGTCAGACCGGTGTATGGGAGGAAAGGTATACGGAGAAAGCAGGCGATGAGCAGCGACTGCGGGTTTTCACGATCACGACGCCTTTCTTCCTGAGGTCGTCTTGCAAGTCGATTCGGGCAAAATGTGTGTGTGCCAAAGAGCGCCATACCTAAATTAGCCCTAGTCCAATATCTGACACTGACTAAGCGGCCGGGATCACGTGCTTTTCGCTGACACATGTCTGACTCATCATTTCAGCCTCAGGCTCCTGTCCGGCTCCAGCCTCGGATATTTTAAGCATACTATACTATGCTGCGTACAACCAATCATCAACAACCTCACCTCACTCGCAATCTTTCCCGCCTCCAGAGCTTGCAGAACACTCCAGCTCTAACTGCTAACCACAACGGCTGAGGGAGCTTCTAGATATTACTGAAGATGCATACTAGTTCTCTGAGTGAAATTCTCTTTCCATAGTTACTTTCCTCCTGAGTTTTCTTTATCGCTGTACCCCGTACTCGCAGCTCCAGGCCTATCCTAGCTTATTATTAAGGACATACTCCGTACATACTCCGTATATAGTAGTAGTTATATACTCCGTACTTCCATGCTTTGGGGCACTAGTAACTAACCCGCCCTAATCCCGTCCGCAGCCAACCAAAAGGCCCTTTTCTACTAATTATCCGCGCTGCATCAAGCATCCCGCCGCTTTGGTTCATCCACCCGCTCTTCCTTCATTCTCCTCGGTAACTCCCTTTTTGTTTTCCGCCTATAAAACAATTGTGTGTTTCATCTCCTGCTCCTTCTGCTGTCCTACTCTTGATTCCTCTCATGTCTCTTTGATATTCCATATTTCTTTATTTCTCAGGTCCTTCTTAAATTCCATCACTTATTGCTTTTATACTCTATGCATCCAACATCTTCTTAAGTTCTTATTAGATACTGCTAGCTTGCCAGCCACTCGTCCTCCACTCATATTGGCCAATCTTATTCCATAACTTACTTTTCTGCTCCAAGTACCGTACCGTACCCCGCCAGCCCCAGCAACCGCCAGCAAAGCGCACTAACGCTTTCTGGCGCTACTTTTGATCCCAGCTTTTGCCGCGACACTCTGTCAGGGCAACCCACCTGACCAGCTCATATTGGACTCGTTCCACCTCCTGCTACAGCTCCAGCTGCACCGGCGATTAATTTCCTAAATATCTCTTTTACATTTCAACCAGCTGGGAAGCTTCAACGTCTTCAGGGCTATTCTAGGCTCGCAAACATGGAGTGTAAGATATCCCGAGCTGACTTGCCGCGCCAATGACACATGAAGCAATTAATGACATCAACGCTGACTTTATTCGGCCAATGCAGTGTCCGACGACGTTCAAGCGTCATATATCAAAATCATCGACTCCATCCTTGCTACCAGTGACTTGAATACTATATCGGAGAAGCGCATACGGAGAGGCTTGCAAGATGCCGTCGACTACGATATCACCCCTCACAAGGTTGGCTGGCTGGCTGCCGATCCTGACTTTTCCCAGATCCCCCTTGGCGGCTATGTTTCTGACGCGTTTATGATTATAGGCCGCGATCAAACTTCTAATTATGCAGCGCTTCGATATCTTTGCGGAACAGAGTGAGAAGCAGGCGGAATCTACCTCCCCCGTCAACGGCCATTCGTCGAATGGTCAACTCAACGCCCCAACGGTCGAGCCCATCTCCCCCGCCCTATCTACCTCCCCGCAAAAACGCAGCGCAGAGCCTGAAAGCGCCTCAGATCCCGGAGATAAATCTCCACCCAAGAAGAACAGAAAGTCAGACTTAGAACTTGCCGACGCGATCTTGGCGGCCAAATTGCAAGCCGAGGAAAATCTACGAGCGCGACCTACCAGAGGCGCAAATTCGAGGAAGGCTGCGCCTATCAAGAAAAAGAAACCTGCTACGAAGTCAAAGACATCAAAGAAAGTGAAAGCGGAGGACGATTCAGACCTAGATGAGCCGGATTCGGAACCCAAAAGGGAGGTCACGCGAACGGGTGGTTTTCATGTGAGTTTTCAAGGCCTTCCACCTTATAGCTACTTCAACGACATATTGACTTTCACCCCTAAAGAAACCCCTCACGTTATCCCCTACGCTCTCTACCCTTCTAGGCGGTGAAATAACGGTGAGTATTTTCTCCTCTAGATATTACCCCTCACTACTCTTGTTCGAATATCCTCCTAACATCACACAGCTTTCTCGACCTCAAACTGTGAAAAAGGTGTGGCAATATATACGCGAAAACAGCCTCCAAGATCCATCTGATCGACGCCAAATCCTATGCGATGACCTCATGCGAGCGGTCTTTAAACAAGACCGAATACACATGTTCACAATGACCAAGATCCTCAACCAGAACCTGTATAACCCTGACGAGTAAAAATTCAAATAACGTAGCCCCACGACCAAGAATAAGAAAGGCTCCCTTTCTTATCGCCAATTCATATCCTCATCATCATTATCATAATCCGGCGTTTATCTGGCAAACGGGGGAGTCATTTGCACATCCTTCTTTTAGTTTTAATTCCCCCCTTTTATAATCTGCCATCAGGTTACCCATTGTGCCATAATGCCGTGAAGTCAAACCATCCCTTCATCGCTTCCGTTTCTTTTTTACTGTTTACTTTCTTCTTTCGCTCTCTTTTCTTTTCTTTTCTTTTTCTTTCTTTTTTTCTCCTTTTGGTTTTATATTTCCTCATTCTCATCCTAAGACATATACCATGCAATATATTTGCTTTGCTATCCGCCCAATTTTTCTCTTATCCTATGTTAGCCGCCTCTCTGTATCTTCCCAGTGAAGTTCCTCGTGCATTATCTTTTGGCCGTTTTGTCAGTTTCCTAACTATTCACTACAAGAGGTGTGGTGGGATCACTCATTCTACAAATTTTCTTTTATGGGAACCTACTGAATATGTTTTAAAGCATTCTGATTAAGTGGTTTCTTCCGAACCGAGAACACTCTCCGCGCGGCCTTGCAAGATGATCTAGGAGACTATCTTCATGCTCGTTTCTCTCCTTCATCCCTTCCTTTACATTTTTTATCATTTATTACCATATCTCGCTCCAGCGGGTGGAGTTGGTTGGTGGGAATGTCCCTTGTTTGTGCTAAATGGATATGAAACTCTTAGTTTGTCATGTTATCTATTTCCACACGCCTTCATTTGGGATTCTCGGTTGTCTTCTGCTTCTCTATTTCATTTTTTTGATCTTGTTGTCTCTTTATCGTTTTGTCTCTCCTATACTCCTCACGTCGGAGCCTTTGGATTTCCAATTTCTTGCGTCAGCTTTCTTGCTTCTGCCTCTTCTTCTGCGCTTATTATTTCCAAGCCGTACCTCTGTTTCCTTCACTGCGTCTTTGGCTTCTTTAAATCTCTATTTCTAGCTGTTGAATCTACTCTTATTATTGGTTGCGCTCTATCACTACCATCTGACTATCCTCAGCCAACCAACCCTCCTTTCCCTTTTGTGCATTCACCCTCTTAAGATTCTTAATGCTTATGACCGGCTTTCATTTCGCAATATTGTCTCTTAATGTCTTCTACACATCTTAACTTTTGGGAACATACAGACGTGTCTTCTCTCTCCCTCTTTTTCTTTCCTGCATTCCTCCCTTTTATCCGTGGAGAAGGAAAGAAGATAGACATGAACAAGGAGAGAAAGGGGAGAAAAGCGGGAACAATACATGAATAAATACATCTGTCTAATATGTCTAATATACCTGCATTGCCTAAACATTCATCTCTTCCGGCCCGCTCTGGGACTTTGTCGGGTTAATCAATACTGGGCCGAAGGAAGCACTTGCTACAAATCCTTCATCTATTAGTAGATTCCGCCAGTGAGAGCAAGCCAAGCAGCTGTTTCTCCACGATGGATGGGCGAAGACATATATATGCCTTAGGCAGATCAGGGCATACCTAGATACGAATGACTGTCCAGGCGAGATACTCCCCTAAAAAATTGATACAGCAGCTCACTAGATTAATTTGCCCAACATCGCATACTCCTAACGAAATGCTTTGTCAACTGGTTAGAAAACTCATCTACAAACAGAAGGGACCACCATAGGCACCTAGTATGTCAGAAATGCGGATGTTGATGGAAGATAAAGGAACCTTTTGTATTGCTAAGTCAGGCATCAAACACGGCATGCCCAGGTTGGACCTGGTGAATATGTCGTATCTGTGTCATTCCTCTTGGTGATGATAGACTATTATGATTTGTTCACACCAGTAACTTACTTTCTTTTCCCCTTGTTACAGCTCTTTGTTCACTGTAGCTTCTGTACAACCAACCCGGTGCTAAAGCAATGTGTCAAGGGACATATTCAGCCCTGTTGGGTTTGGGGTAGCTAGCGCTCGAGGAAAATTTCTAGGTGATGTGATGTGGGTTTTATTCTTGCCTTCGCCCTCTCTATAGATATCGTCCTCATGTTTCAAGGGTGGAAGGCCGATTCAATGAACACTGAACAGTTTCAATGTTGTTTCATAACCTGATTCACAAAGGAAACAACAAGAAGCTACAGTTCTTAACCAGAATGTCTATAGAAATGGAGCGTCGAGTATAAAAGCATACAAGTCTCTCTCCAACCAGATATTGTGAAGCGTATCGGAATCTGAATCTTTTTTTTTTTTTAAAAAAAAAAAAAAAAAAAAAAAAAAAAAAAAATCTCGTTTGGACAGGCTTCGAAGAAATATTAGGGATACAGACGTCGCTCTGCAACTATTGAACCGCCCTCGCTTTCGAAGCTCTCCGGGTCTATTTCAGCAAATACTTTAAACTGGTTTTAATTCCCCTATTTTTAAATCCGGGAACTGATATTCTAGTAAGTTTTACACATTCAGTCAGTCTACATAGGTTAGGCTAGTAGAATGAAGTTCTGAGTCTGATTTATCATACTACCATATCCAACTGACAAAACATGATAATATAATAATTAGTTCATCAAAGATGTGCGAAAACACCCGCTCGCAGTACCAATGCGAATTCAAGCACAGGCTTAACCAACTCATCCTATGCGATCAATTCAAGAATAAGCCCTCGTACCAGCATTGCGCGATCGTACCAGCCGCTGGGAAGATGGTGGAGAAGTCCGGGTCTCAGTGTCCAGAATGCCACCCGCGGCT